TGGCTGGTGCGCATGGGTATTTCAATAGATAACTGTTTGAATCTGAAACAGATGGAGATCTTGATCATGACATCGTCACTGTGGCTGCTTCACACATTGTTGATAGTGTTAATTCATTTTTTTTTTTTAACATTTTAAACTAAAGTTCTGGCCACATCTTATATTGCACCTTTACAGCACAACCACCAAAGCTGACATTTAAAAGTAAAACTACATGTCAATTGTCCACATTGCAAACCAGCTTAGTTTTCACACTTGAGTTAACATTGAGCTTAACTTGACTGATATTTACACATTTGATGCATACAAAACATTTTGATTTACTTTTACGGTATATCAATCTATGCATGGGATATAAAATACAATCATGCTTTCCCTTATACTTACATAAAATCAGTGATATTTGCCCATTTTGCATTCAGGCCAGTAGATGTTGCACTGATCACATGAAGCATCAAGATATAAACCCTTTGTGGAACCACTTTGCTGAGAAAGTAAAACCTCCGACGCTGTGGGACTCGCATCCAGTACCAGGCAGTTGATTTCTGCAAGCAAAGAAGATACAACAGCCCGGGAAATTTTACTCACCCAGAATTGCACTTACTGTCCACGGACTGCTCACAGAGCCAGGTGTCAGTTCACTGCTGCCATGTTCATTCTGGTGTCCGTATATGTAGTCATGGACTGTCTTACCAGTCGCCGTATTTCGGCAGTCTTTGTTCTGACCCAGCTAGGGGAAAAGGGAAGCAACATAAAACCAGGTGTTATTGCTTAATCAAATTTACTGATTTCATTTATTGCCTAACATGGAGGGTAAATATGTAAACATAAATACAAACAAGGCAAGAGGATAACTGAAGTAGGGGAACAGGAGCCAACAAAGAGCCTAACTATGCGATTCTAACCAACCCAAAAACACTAGAATCAGCGCCCCTGTTCCTAATGTGTCCAACAGTCTTTTTCTAAGGGTGTGATGCGCAATCAGAATTTTAAACCTAGCCCAGTCCCCAACAATCAACACCAGCATCTCAAACCAAATCACAAATTACACACAAATGTTCACAAAGGCGGTACAGAGGCGAGCTGCCTATCATGTCAGCCGCCACTAACGAGGTGCGAGCCGGGCTCTTAAACTCTCTTCCTCTGATGCTCAAACGGTAACAGCTGTGGTGAGGGCTGCTGGATCATTGCTGCACCAATAGCAGAAGATGACCATGGAGTCGGAGGCTCCTCCTCTCTGCTCCGACCAATCCCGTCAAGGAGTCCGCGCAGTCTGATTAACAGACAGACAAAATACACTTTTAATATCCAGTTGACTGCGGTGCAGCTCCGTTGAACACATTAAAATATCATGCAGAAAGTTGAGAGCAGGACTGATGACAAAATTACGGAAGATTGCTCCGGTAGAGGATAACTAAACCTCTAAACTAACCTCACACTGATGGTTTCAAACACTAATGTGTCCCCACAACCACAGTAAGACATGTATACACACATGTACATGTACTTATAGAAGTTGATCTGCAATTAAGCTTTACCACTATATCCCCATATAGACGATCGATTTTAAGATCTTTTATCACCAATCAATTACCTCTCCGATAGCAAATTGACTCCGCACTGGATCCGTCCTGGAGGTGTCATAGGCTCCGGAACGGATCGACAAAACAGGTCCAGATCGGAGTCCACTTGCACGGCGGGACGGCTCCAGAACTGATGAGGATTACGGATCCAGACCACATCCGTATCCGCTCATGAGGCAGCTCAATCGGACCGGATCTGATTTGGACCCGTTCATGAAGTGGTTAACTCAGTCCAGACCGGTTCTGGATCCCTTATTCAAAATGACTCATCCGGCTAAAACTAGCTGCAGGAATCTAAAATCTAGCTGACCAACACCTGGATTGCTCTATGAAAGCTTGAATACTGAACCACTCTGCCTTTATTAATATTAATAAAACATTACTCACTGAAGACTTGAAAAGATCTAAACCTTTAAGCCACCCAGCAATTCTACACTTAAATGCTTTCACTGTGAAGCAGTAGAAGTAGGGAAATTGGGTTTCTCTTGCAGTAACTTAATACAGCTTCGTTATGGGTGTAAGAGTTATCAGAACATTTCAAACTGTTGCACTAAGGAACATAAATGCAGTTTCTTGTAAGTCCCTTACACAGTTATTATCCAAAGACAGACTCTGCTAGTAACAACGAAATCCTCTATTAAAAAAGGACATTACAGGCTGTAAATACATGTGGAATATAGGTGTAACGGGCAAAATGAAACGCAACCATAAATTGTATCAAAAAGTTTTATTTAATGAAAATCTTTTGGAAATGTAAGAACCTGTTTCAAGAACTGCAGGTACTCTGCATACCAAAACATTTTCTCAACGTGAAACAGTAGACTGATCTTCTTGGGTAGGGATGCTTTCTTGAGCATCCTCTATCTGCTGCAGGTTGAACCACCTTATAGCATCCTTCAGGATGTCATCATCAGTGGCGGCACGGGAGACGTGACTCTTTCTCACAGCGTCTATAATCACACAAGCACAGAAGCCTTTAAACACAAAGTCTGCTGTCTGACATTTAAACAGGAGACCATTACCTATGAGTATAACTGTTATTTTCACTGTTACAATTAACAATCCCTGGTATATACTGCTGTCCATGGTCTCCCTCTCTCTCCTCCCCCACCCTGAGTCCAGCTCTGTTGGAGGTTTCTTCCTGTTAAAAGGGAGTTTTTCCTCACCCTTGTCACCGAGTACTGATCTTTGAGGGAACTGTTGGGTTTCTCTCTATAATAAAGTAAGGCCTCGACCCGACCCTGTAAAGTGCCGTGAGATAATGTGTATTATGATTTGGCGCGATGCAAATAAAATTGAATTGAATAGAAGTTCGCCATTTTGGGAAATGTGCTTATTTGAATTCTTGGTAAGAGTTATATTATAAAATCTCTCGTGTCTGAACAGTAAATATGAAGCCACAGCCAAAAGCTGGAAACAGGTGGGAGCAGCTAGACAATTCCCTCAGCAATCTGGGCTTTCAGGCAAACAGGATTATAGGAAGGCATTTCTAACAGTTTTTCCAACATGCTGTTTGGAAATACTCTGATATTTAGAGGACCTCGGAGCCAGACGTGTATACACATCTGGTTTCTTGTTCACTGCTCAGCCTAAACCACTTCAACCTATAATTAATGCAGATTTGTAGGGATTTAATACGAAATTGTAGATTTCACTGGCTAATTAATATCAATATCTTGCTGACGTCATGCCCGTGTATTAGCCTTAATTTTGTCGCTACAAGTAGCCACAAGATCGTTTGGGTTCATGTTGGAATAACAACATACTTACCAGATCAGGGCGCTTGACATAAACAGCAGCAACACGCTCAAAGAGAGAGGACTACTGTTGGCTGAAAAAGTTGCCAGCTAATGTTGACATTATTGCGCTGCTTCGACGTCCATGTTCGGTTACACCACCTGTGTAGCAGCCGGAAGAGACGGACAATATGGCTTACGGCGCTCAAAAAGAGCGCGAAGCTGGGGAACTGCCACGATTTGCACGTTAAGTGTAAAACAGCGCGATTTCACTATGAAACATTATAATATCAGTGAAGCGTTACAACAAGCAAATGAGTTTTGACACGTTTTTAGCTTCAGTTACAAGTTACTCCGTGTGAGCTCACCTCTCGCTTGCGAGGGTAGCCATCTTGGATAGATCTTTCAGGTGTCGGGGTCGCGACCTCGTGACGTCAGCATACGTAACCGTCAAAAAAAAAAGTGAACTTAAAAGTAATCAGTGAACTAGCGGTGTTTACTCAGAAATGGCGACCTACACAAAATTAAAACCGTATTACCTGTTCAGAAAGATGAAAACTTTAAAGTTGGATTACCTTTGCAACAGATTTTAATTGTCCCGTTCTCAGTCTTTATAAATTAGTAGTATGTCATGTTAATGTGTTCTCCAGGCTGCACAAATTTGTCACAACCATGGTAGGCATTGTGGTTCTTTTTGTTTTTAACAAAGGGCCAGGCTGGTGTGTCACAAATGACTGAGTCCAACTTCAGCTTCAATTTCTTCCCCTCAAACTCAAAACCTCTTTCAAGCTGTTGTAACTCAGAAACAAAATCTCCAAGGAACTCTTTTGCTGATGGGTTTCTTTGGTCCATAGAACAAGCTGATCACTATAGATTCTTTCATGGGAACACTCAGTAGCAGACCAAGGATGGGCCACAGTTGCAGACTAGAGCTCTACTGTCCCTTAAAAATCTTTTTTTTTCCAGGGGTGGAAAATAACAGCTGTTGTTCCCACAAGAAAAACATTTTCGAGATCGATACAACAGCTTTAAAAAAAGAAAGAAATATATCACAAACATCCAGGATCTGTTCTGGGGCACGCGAATAAGAAATGTGAATTCTTAAAAAGGGTTTACAGATCACACATTTACGCACATGAATGAACGTGTCAGTGTCCTGACGACGCGACGTTAGATAAAGATGAGACAGAAGATTCTTCAGCAGAGTCTGATCTGAGGTCTGTGTTTAAAGGTCTAGAAATAAAGAAAGATTCATTAAGTTTTAATGTTTGCTGCGCTCACCACGACCAGACTTCATCACTGACTGAAGCAAACAGAAAAACAATTTGTCCTGTTGTTGATTCCATTGTGTTTTTATGATCATTTCAGCTCTGTACAAACTATTTGTTCTCCAGGTTCTTCAGTCGGTCATTAGGTTCTGTAAATGTGGAACAATACAACAATGTGTTGACATAAAGATTTACCTCTGAACACTAAACATTTTAAAAGATTGTTTAAAGAAAACACTGGAACCTTTAACCACTTGTAGTTTCTCAGCAGCCACGTGAGTCCAGTAAAATCTAAAGTAGAGCTGAGCAGCAGCTGACGGATTCACCAAGTCTCTACTTGTAATCCTACCCAACACCCATGATGCATCAGTGGGGGGGTTTCTAAGGCGACTCTGACAGTCAACAAACATGGCTGCAGCTGCAGGGAGCTCTGACCAACAGGAGTGAGTACATTTACACATTATTACAACAGTTAAAGTCAAAACCACATTAAATGTGATTTTTTTTCCTCAGACCTAAAATGATGCTGAAGTTTGAGATTTTTGATTGTGTTTTTTTTAATCTGAAAACTGAAATAAAAAGCAAGTTTTGACCTTTTAACTGAGTGTAAATGTTTTAGAATTTAACCTTACAAAATAAATATAAATCACCATTAATACGAGTTAAACTGCACAATATTTCATTTTCCCAAATCAATCTGCACAAAATACAATATTCACTGATAAAGAATAAAATGGGTTTAAAGGAAAAACAGAAAAAACATGAAAAAATATACTTTACAAAACGCAATAATCCTCTTAACCTCAGAAAGAGCTTTTCAGCCTCAGTTTATATGAATTATTTTATTTTGGCTTAGATCTCAGTTCATTCTTTCTGAGCTGGAAAACAGAAAACCTGAAGTACGAAGGTTTAAATTTAAATCTGAATCCAAAGTCTGAAATGACTTTCACAAAAAGAAAGAAAGAGATCAAAGTCCTGATTCGAGATCTGTCAGATTTGGACTCAAACCTTGTTCCACAGTAAAAGTGAAACCAACCGTCTTCTCATATTCCCTCCGAGGCGCTCCTGCTCCCACATCCCGACGTTCTCAGCCCGACATCCCATGATCCCCAGACTGTATGTGATGTCATGGAAACAGGACATGAAGAACCAGAGGCTCCTGATGAAGGTAGACACCAGAGAAGGAAACAAACGCACCACTTGTTTGTGTGAATACATTCTGTATCTGAATGTGGATTTAAATCACTGGAAATCTGTATTTCTTCTATTAATGTTTCTTTTTGTCATTTATTTCCTGAGCTCACGTCTCTCTGGTAAATGAGACGTTGATCTCAATGTGACTTCCTGATTAAATAAAGTCAAAATAACGAGCAGACGTTGCTGTTTTCCAGGGAAAGACTCACTAAAGTGAACGTTGTCCGGTCTCGTCTCTGCACTGAGATAAACCCTGAGACCGACCCACAAGTCGACGTCCTCCGACTGAAATCATCAGTAGTCTGTCACTGAATCATGTTCCGATTTGTCAGAGATGGTGAAGAGCTGCATCTTTACTCCGAGAGTTTTTCCTCCATCAGACTTCTGACTGGTGCAGCAGCTGGTGATGTTGGTGATGTCTCCACCCTCCGAGGTCTGAGTGAAGACAGACTCCTCCCACTTTTCCTCATACTTCCTGCTTTGTCACTTTTTCCTTTGATCGTTTTTTGGGGTTTTAGAAGTGGCTCTGTGTCCCTGTGGTCCAACACTGGTGAAGTAACATGTGTTTTCATCAAGCGGCCACTAGGTGGTGCCATGGAGTAAGATTTTAGCACCTTCCCATTACCTCTGAACCACATGTAATGTCTCTGTGTGTGTGTGTGTGTGTGTGTGTGTGTGTGTGTGTGTGTGTGTGTGTGTGTGTGTGTGTGTGTGTGTGTGTGTGTCAGAACGCAGCTCTGGCAGGGATCCCTGTGGTTCCTCTTGAGGAGTCTTTGTGTTTCTGTGGACGGGAGCGTCTCTGCCACAGTCAGAACGCCAACCACTGCTGCTCCTCCTCCTCCTCCTCCTCCTCCTCCTCCTCCTCCTTTCCTCCTCTTATNGGGATCCCTGTGGTTCCTCTTGAGGAGTCTTTGTGTTTCTGTGGACGGGAGCGTCTCTGCCACAGTCAGGACGCCAACCACTGCTCCTCCTCCTCCTCCTCCTCCTCTCCTCCTCTTATCCAGACAGGACTGACAGCTCATCACTCCTCCCACTTCTCCAGGTAAAAACACCTGACAGACTGATGCTGCGTTCAGGTTGTGTCAGGAACACTCAGCTTCGTTCGCCTTCAGCTACAGTTTGATGACTCGCTGTGGAGGTGATGACATCAGAGGGTTTCACTGTGTTTTCCTGCAGGTACAACAGCTCTGTGGTGACGACCAGGCGTCTCTACCAAACCTGAAGACAGATCTCACCGACACCGATGAACCCGTCTGCTTCACAAGCTGAGGAACGGCCTTTGGTTTTCCTCGCAGCTCTGTATTTAATAATAATGAATCTCATTTTAATTCAAGAGAAGAAAAAGCCAGGAAGCTGCACACAATATCAAAATATCACAATTAAAATGTCAAAAACTCACATTTTCCTTCTCACCACAAACTGCACTTCCAGTTTTCATTTCACTGAAGACACGCAGTGACCCTGAACTCTGCTAAGAACCAACTACAGAGAAGATATATTAAACTCCGAGGGCACAGGCAGTAAACTGTACGTCTTACATGTACTACACCAGGGAGGGGTATCCAAACTACGGCCCGCGGTCCATCTTTAATTGGCCCACAAGAATTCTTTTAAATAGAATAGAATATGACCCACACTTCAACTTTTGCCTGAGTGTATTGCACTTCTCCGTTTCAACACCAGGGGTAGCTATTGTTGATCAAGGCAGTTGCTCCAGCAAAAAGGACAATAATCAGAGAAGAAATTTACCCCAAATTACTCAACATGGCAAAACCAAATAAGCGAAAGGTAGAGAGTGAGTGCAGAAAATTTCAGTCACGGTGTGAGAGTGAGTATTTCTTCAAAGAATTTCCACAGTACCCGTGTGTTAATAAGCATGCATGTGCAAGTACACATGCAACAAATATCAATAATGCGCATCAATTCTGTCGCTACCCTGCTTTTGCGCACCACTTTCTTATATGCGTTTTTGTTGTTAACACACAGAGTACACACCGCTGTGCACAGCGCACACACTGCACACGCAAAGTCAGCTGATCTCATCTGATGAAGATTTGCTCCTTGATCAAGTGAATTTGTCCGGATTTTTGGCACGAGTGGTGTCGGGTCAGCACCGCAGCTGGATGGCCCGATTTACATACCCAGCGCAGCTGATACTCACCAGAATAATTTACTAAAATTATATGCACTCCTGTTATTAAGTCCATTTCAGTCCGTTAATGTTGATAACTGTTTCAAACGAACATTAATAGGTGTGTTGCTAACCCTAATAACTTAAATAACAAGCTTGAAATTTAGCCGTCCCATTTTCCATTATTGTTTTTAATTTTGTTTCTAATTATATTCAACAATATAACATATTTGTCCACTTTTAATTGATTTTTCTAACTTTAATACACTAAAGTTAAGGTTATATAACTAATTTCTAGTAAGTGGCCCAGCTCCTTCTATATTTTTATGCATGTGGCCCTCAGTGAAAAAAGTTTGGACACCCCTGCTTTAAATGTATGTTTACATGAATATATTGGTGCTGCAGTTCACATGTTCACCACACCGTCTCAATAAACACAGTGTCAAACAGTTTTACTTTCACTTTTGAACTCCTCTGGTTGTGACGCAGCTTTTATCTGGTGAGTGAACTCAACAAAAGCAGGTCAAATACGTAGTTAAAGTGAGTGAATGTATTGTGTTCGTATCGTGGATATGTTAATAGAGTTAATAATATAACTGCAGAAAGCTACAGATTCACTTTACTAGTTGGAAATTAATAAATAAATATTTTCCGTCTGCGTGTTTCATGAGGGATCTGTATTGACTCACTGAAGTATCCGCTGGTTCATGTAAAAGATAGTAAAAGATAATTACTGGTCCTTTTATATATTTTATAATTTCAGAGACTATTCTGGACGAGATGAGTTTTTTCGTTTCCTTTTGTTTTTTGAGTTTGCTAAGTCGTGCCTTTGGTTTCTTGTTTACGTTTATGGCCGCCATCTTTCAGTTACAGAGGCTCGTCACTGTGGGGGTAATTTTTTTTAAGGTAAATTTAAACTTAAAGAAATGTGAAGGCAAAAACCATCCAACATAAAATGCAACCCACATTTACTATCTCTCAAAAATATGACTAAGTGCTACACTGTGAAATGCAAAGAAAGCTCGTGTTTTGGTCTGTACTTCCTCTTTGTGTTTTACAAGTTCTTCACTTTTTTCAGTTTTTCCTTTTGATATTAGACAGAAAATTTTCCTGCTGGGCTGTGAGTAAAATCTTAATCCTGAATCTAGGAGGACTACAGAGGATTATTATCACTGTGTGTTGTATGGCAATATTCAAGCTCAGCAGTTTAAACAAGTGTCCACTAAACCATCATTTTCCTGCACATTATTCAGATCAGATCAATATTTTAATAGTGTCGTATGAGCTGTGTAGCAGCTCCCCAGCACCTCTGACCCTCTTCTGATCACTTGTTGTTAAACTGTATTCATGCTGATTTAGTCAGACCAGCCTCAGCTAGCAGGTCTGATGCTAGCTGACTTTGAAACTCACTGGATGATGAACCCAGAGCTGGCAGCAGTAAACAAACCTGAGTCTAACACTTTGATGTGGGAAGGAGTTCAGCTCACTGACTAGCAGGTTGTGGCTAGGAGGATCAGTGCTAGCCAACCCTGAGACAGGCTGGAGGCTAGCTGCTTAGGACCTGAGTCATGAGGGGACGTGGCTGTGGCAGGATAACACAGCACCAGCAGACCTGGGATCAGCAGCCTCTTACAATAATGTGCATGTAATTAAAGTATCCAAATGCAAAGAGTAAAAGTCATGAGTTTTCTACTGCATTAAAAGTATGTGCTGCAAAAACTCCAACAAGTACATTTAAGTAGTAAAATTGAAGTAACAGACTAAATGTAATTCCTTACTGACCACATATGAGGCGATGCTGTGATGACATCACAAGTCAAACAAATGCTTTAGATCAAGTTGAACAAGATTTTCAGCTGATACTTATTGAAACAAACTGAGTTTAAAGTTAAAAAACAAAACTGAGTCAAACAAATATATTAAACCCAGTTTTCTTCCATCATCAAACATCATGATGATTATCAGACACAGAAATCCTGAAGCTTTTAATATTCAGATCTTGTTTTAATGGTCACTTTTGATTGAAATTGTACATTTAAAAACATTTTAAAGTGGTTTTAAAAATGTTGTCTCCCTGTTAGTCTGGATGATCCACAGAACACAGTGATTTCCCATCATGCACATCACACTGTTCAGGCAGCATGTTAGAGTTTTAGAAATAGTTATGGTTCTAAATATTGACCCAACTTTAAGTGAGTGTCATGTGGATGAGAATAACAGTGTAAATAACAGCAAAAGGAAGTGATACTGACAATATTTCATCTTGATTAAAATGGTTTTAGAGACATTTTGATTCATCTTGGCCCATTATTGTTGTTGGAATAAACAGCTCTGTATTCATTTTATGAGCATGAAGTAACTCTGGTGTTTTACAGATTACAACAAGGAACAAAGCAGTGAGGATCATTACAAAGATTTGATAAACCAGCTGAAAATGGGGAAGAAGTTCCAGTTGCTGATCAGAAAACTGTGTAATGGTGAGTTCATAGAGAAATATCCAATCCTAATAGGCAAGTTTCACCATTCAGCAGCCATCTTGGAAATGGCCCCGGCACATTATTTTGACTGAAATATGTAAAGCATGATGAAAACAGAGGGTTGAGGGCTCCAAGTCCAAGTTAAAGAAACTGTGATTTACTCAAAAATAACCTAATAAAATCTA